CCTGGCCAGTAGATGATTGTAAAGATAACAGTATGTTAGCTGCATTCTAGAAAGTTCTGCATTCTGTTACCATCCTGTTGCCTTATGGAAGTTTAGGAATGGGGGACTAAGAAAGTTATAAGGGTAACGAGAGAGAGTTCCTTGCTTGTAGCTGTTTTGTGGTCGTCCGCCTGGCTCTAATTACGATTATGGCTTCTTGTCTGGTCGATGGATCCGCCCCATCTCCCATTGGCTAAGATACTGCAATTTGCGGTGCTGGCCCTATTTCACAAGTTCAAACATGGAAGTATGTTTTGTTGCTGCTGTTTTTAACAGGATCCAGACAGCGAGTCCACATGGGGTGCTCAATACTGTCCCAGATGGAGCTCAAAAACCCATCCAGCCAATCAACATTCTACCTGCAATGAAACGAGGGGGCCGCTCCTCTCCCTACCTTCTCTATCGCCTCAAAATACGTCAAGCTTCACGCATGTGCTAACCATAAACACATGTGATGAAAAGTGCAAAGTCATTGAGGTGCGCTCAAAACGCTCACTGTCGGCTTACAACCCCAACTGATTTATTGGGTTACAAACACCTCAGACCGCCGACCGTATTAAGTTGAAAAAAAAAACACTATTTTCCATGTAACAAAATAAGTTCTCTCTTGGCAACTACTATCCAGAGTTGTGGACCCATTGACCCCTGCTCTTCAGTGTCCTTCATGACATAAAACCCAGAATGCTTTCCAACATCCATTCACCACACACAACTCTAATCCCCTCCAGTGCTGATGTGGTTTCCACTGCTAAACGAGGCTGAGCTGAGCCAGGGAAACTCACGCCACCAAACAGAAAGATGTTCCCTACAATTGCAGTACACTTTAATGTAGTTCCAAGGGAGGGCGGGGATTATGGGTTCTTCAGAGAAACTTTTAGTGACCAGTTCTTAAAAGAACCATTTTTTATGTGTGAAGAACATCTGAAGAACCTTATCTTCACTATGTGCAATGGAAATATTCGGTGGATGTTAAAGGTTCTTCATGGAACCATAGGTGCCAATAAAGAACCTCTAATTTTAGGAGTGTTCTAAAAGGTCGAAAAGTGTCTTGCAAGTAAGCCAGACTCAGTTAAGTCATTTAACATAGGTCATTGGTGAGCGTAGAGTGTGAACTCCATGAAAGACCACTGTGAGCTTGGAAAATAAACAGTTCTTAGATAGTAAATACAAGTGTTCCCGTATTCAGTGTGAGCTCACCATGTCTCCGTAGATCTCATCAGCAAGGATAGGGATACAGTTTCTTGATGCCACTAGATCACATAGAATATTATCAGATTAATATCCTGGAAGTTCTGTGGATAAACATTCCTGATATATTATTTGTGTAAACATTCACCGGAAAGAATCTTATGCTGGTGTTCTCTGGAGAACACAGAGCCGCACGGATTGGATGGGTTGTTGACAATCAGACAGGCTGTTTTGTCATCGATCAGACTCTCCAGGTGCTGAAGATCAATCTCCCAGGACTTCTCCGGCTAAAGGATCAAAATATAACATAATATATATTTCAAAAAGTTTGAAAAAAAAAAAAAAACTAATCTTAGGCATGATACAGTCAAGCGGTATTGTAGAAACTTACTGCAGAACTGGAAGAAGGGATTATATAAGTGCTTAGGAAGATTAAAACTATATTAAATTCAATTAAAAGACATCCTTATATTGTCTGCAAATAAAATGATTCCTATCTTAGTTGTGTTAGGATCTATAACACTTATCTTTATACTGTACTAAAACCTGAGCTGTATTTTTCTGTTATTTGCATGTGCGTGTTTATGGTTCTTTCTATTTATCAACCCCAGATGTGGACCATATATTGTAAGAATGACGCAGCAATTTTCCCTATCCACTCCACAAACCATCCACTAGTCTTTTATGACCCCAAACCTGCCCCATCCTTCCCCCTCTCATAAACAGAAAGTATTTTGTTTTCTGACTCCATGCTAAGCTGAGGTGATGGACTTTGTCTTTTTGATTTGCACACTCGTGCTATCAGTGTGATTTATTTACTCACCAGCAGATTGTAGTGCTTGACTTGGATGCCCATAGACACTGCCAGCGTCTTATAGAGGGAGAATCCAGGACGTGGAACTAAGATATTGTCCCCTGGGTTACACAACACGCTGATGGCTAACTCTATAGCCTGGCTACAGCCACTGGACAAGATCACATCCTACAGATTTAAGAAGAAGAAAAAATTTACTCTTCATCAACTTACAAACGCATATGAAAAATGACAAATGATGGATGTGACGCACTTTGTCTTCCAGTGGAGCTTCTGGACAGCTGTAGAAGTTTGCAACAGCTTCTCTGCTCTTTTGGTAACCTGTCAATGTTATTTAAAATACGGATTATTTTCATGAGGAGAAAATCATACACATTTTATCAGAATGCAAATGCAAGGTGGGACTATTTAATCGTTATATACCAAATGAGGCAATTAATTTCTCTTAAAATGTCAGTATTCATTTTTTAATCAAGCAGAAAATGAATGCCTAAGACTTACCAACTGAGGGAGCATAGCCATTGTATTTGTGTGAGTCTATGGCCTCCTTCACTGCCTGTAAAACAGTGTCATCTGTTGGCATGTTCCCAAACACAGTTGGGTCACCTGGTGGAAAATCAAGTCCAAAACAAACATTTACATTTAATCGCTCAGCGAAAAGAATATTGCAAATAATAGCCTACATACGATGATTGAGACAAGGATAAAATAAAAATAAAAAGTAAGCCGGTACTTTTTAGCTATACAGTTATATATATAGAACTAATTTACAAATATTGGATCTTAACATTTTGTGTTTTAGTTTTTTGTATATAAGTAGGTTATTTGATGCATAACTTACCAATGGATAGAGCAATCATGGGTTTCTCGGGGTTGGGAGTGAGTTTCATCCCGTCCACTATGGCTCGGATGGGGTTGAGTGTTTTTTTGGACATCTCTGAGGGTCTGACGTTCCATCTCTGCCTGTGGCTCTTCAGTTTAGCCGGGTTCACACTCACATGAGTCCGCACACTCACATGATGGACACTGTTCCCGTTGATGCCATTGTTCTGAGCTCCGTTCATTTCCACTACAAAAGACATTTTCTTGGTCTATGCCCTTCTGAAAGAGATGTCTAGAGAATGAAAAAGATGACACTGATAGAGTAAAATATGTTTACTGATATTTACGCAGCGGCATAACTATTTTTGATGTTAAGGGTCTTTGTTTTAGACCGACATGAAAAACAAAGGGTTGGATTTTTAAAAGTTAATTAAATTGCAGTAGCCTAGACTAATATAGACTCTCGCGAACAAACGACCTGAGGCGGACACCATAGCAACAGTATTTGTGCTTTCCATTAGGATCAGTATATGACAGTAACCTGCATTTGAAAATGTAGCCTACTGCAATAACTTTATAAGCTATAGATGTACACCCCGCAAATATATTAAAAAAGCTTTTAGAGTTTTTAAGAAAAGTCTTTAAGAAAGTTGTCCGTTATCTAACAGAAATGTAGCTTACTTGCATAAATAAGACAAACACCGCAATGCAAATAAATTACATTACATACGAAAAACACTAGTCTAAATAATCAGATTAATATAGATCTGTAGAATTTTAATATTGTCTAACATTCGTCAAATTAGACAAGATATCTAATATTCTAAAATATCAAAGTAACAAAAAGTAATGTGGAAATGTATTTTTCTATTGTTTAAAAATATGCAAAACATATTAAAGATATTAAACACTATAAATATATTTATTTTAGACACTAAATGAATGAAAACACGAATGCATATGCTAGTTTAGGCTATAAGCAATATACAGAACTTATAATGTAACATAAATACCTTATTAAGTTTCTTATTATAAGAAATCACGCTCCAGTGGCTGGGGATGAGATAAATAGGTAAATATGTGCACAGAATGATTAAGTCGGTTCATAGACCGGCTTTATACAGAACCCCCAAATGGGTGTTGAACCCTGCCTATATTTCCATTGGTGGAGACTGGGGGCAGTCCAAAACTCCCCCGTTACCTCATAAGTCTAAAATTCTATAGTTTTGGGGTTGAACCTCATCCTCCTCCTCAAACACTCCTGCCCTCACAAAACATGAGTTATGCACATGCTGCTCAGCTGTTTTTAGAGACACTTTCCTTCTTTCAAAACTACACTCTAAAAAATGCTGGGTTAAATACAACCCAGTGCTGGGTAAAATTGGGACAAAGCCAGCAATTGGGTTGTTTTGACCCAGCGGTTGGGTTACTACCCAGAAGGTTGGGTTAAACAATTAACCCAACCGCTGGGTCAAAACAGCCCAATTGCTGGGTTTGTCCCTATTTTACCCAGCACTGGGTTGTATTTAAACCAGCATTTTTTTAGAGTGTATTGCTGTCTCATTCTCTCACTTCAGTCTATTTTATTATTATTATTTTATTAGTCGCACCTGTTTACAGCGCACATTTATAATGAGAGAAGCCGTTTAGGTTTAACACTGTATTTCAGTATTCTCCACATCTGTAATGAGAATGAAAGAGGCTGGTCTCCACATCTGTCTTACATAAGTTAAGCTCACGTTTTTGCGTCGGCTGGAGTTGTTTTATTGGTGCTAACACTGCAACTATTGGCCATTCTGCTATTATGCAAGTAAAATGATCAAGTCTGTGAAAAGCCTTTTTCCAACTATACAAAATATGGAAAATCAAAGGCTTGGGGTCTCTCACAATCATAAAAATGTTCAAATCAAAAGTTGTTCATGCATTGTTTTCTACTAAAGGGACATCAAGTTCAAAGATCTTTTCATAAGCTCGATAAATCAAACCAAGTCATTCAAAAATCAGTTGATTTGCAGCCCAATTCAGTGTAACTGCAAAAAAGAGTGACAAGCTCATTTTCCATTCTTGTTTCACAGTAAGAAAAGACAACTACAAGAGGTAAATGATGACAAAATAATGACAATATTCATTTTGGGTGAACTATTGCTTTAATAAAAGTCAAAAATAAATTAGGAAAAAAATGCTGTCACTTGGATCATATATGTAACTCTTTCAAGCTCAAACAATCATCATTATCCAAAACACCTACAGACATTAAATGCCATTTTTTTCTACCTGACAGCACGTATATGAATGAGTGCACTATATCTGATGCAATAATGACTAAGTAGTTTGCAATAACATCAAGTCAAATTTACACTCAAGTCAGGTGAATAAAAGTCAGAATGGAGTTTTACAGAGCAATAACCTTGAATTTTAAACCCACAACTCTCTTTCATGTTTTTTGTACTTGTTGGCATAACCACCTATTTAAGAAACCAGCATGTACACACGTAACACTGAATTAGTGAGGCTAAGACTAACCTTAAAACACTTCTGACCCGCTATTTAGTAGAGTCAACACAACCTTGTAGGCAAAAAACAAAGTAAAAAAAACTCACGTCATAATCCAAAATGTCTGTCCTTACATAACCCTTCTAGGTCAATCACAGAAAGCATGTCAACACGTATCCACTAAAGCACGCCATACAGAGACCCAGCGATAACCCTGACCCACCATACGCGTCACTAAACCAACAGCAAACAGTGTTCCACATTGGAAACCATGTCGTTTTAGAGTTATATACTCACACTTCATAGGACATTCAGGGCAACAGGAGTCTAAAATGACGGATTACCAAAAACATACTGGACACAAATATTTTGGCATTGACCTTCAAGAGCTTTAAGGCAAGCATTTTGACCTTTATGAGGTAAACGATGAGGTAAAAAAGCTGCATAGTTTCCCAACCCTAATGCGAGTTCATTCAAAATGGCCAAACTCAATGTTTGAGTACCTATGCATCTAAAAATATGTTGCAGACCATGTTCGCTGGCACCTTTTTAATGTCTTTTGATTTAGTCTCCGTTAGGCTTGTATATATTGAGTATAAATCCGAATACAGTGTTATTTCATCAAATAACATGTATTGATAATCTTCAGGCTCTTGTTCTCTTAAAATACCTAAAATATGCTTAGTCTGTTGAAGCCACTTGGACTTCATGAGGAAGCTTTGACTCTCTAAGGACAGTTTCAGATTGTGTTCATTGGTTCAGCTTGGTTTGGTGAAGACAATGGTGGCTAAAATCTGTCCTGCACTGATTCCTGGAGTGACAAGTTTTTTTTGAGGCTGTGGATTGAGATGATGAGGAGAACTGTTGGTGGAGCAACTGGTTTCTTTGAGGACACTGGTGAAAGACTGAGCATTTTAAATACCGTGAGGTAAATGATGAGGTAAAATAAGGTGAAAAGCTGCAATTTTCTTCTTCTAAATTGTCACAGGCTCTGTATGAATCCATGGCTCTTGCACATTCTTCCTTGGTCAATCTGTGAAGGAATAGTTGAGGTTGAAGCCACTTGGACTGCATGAGGAAGCTTTGACTCTCTAAGGACAGTTTCAGATTGTGTTCTTTGGTTCGGTGAAGACAACGGTAGCTAAAATCTCTCCTGTGTTGATTCTTTAAGTGCCAAGTTGCTTTGAGACCGTGGACTGAAATTGTGAGGAGAACTGTTGGTGGACTGAAGATTAAGGAGTAACTGGTTTCTTTGAGGACACTGGTGAAAGACTGGCCTGCTGACCATCAAGAGCTTTAAACAATTTGATCTCCATAAGGGAAAATATAGTAAAAAAGCTGCATATTTTCCCAACCCTAATGCGAGTTTATTCAAACATCCACAGCAAAATGCTAAAATCGGTGTTTGAGTAGCTATGCATCTGAAAAACATGATGAAGACTACATTCACTGGGACTTTCTTTTTGATGTCCTCTGTTTTAGTCTTAGTCAGGCTTGTAATCAGGGTCATCAGAGTCTGTTGAATCTAAGTCTTCTGAGTATGAATCAGAATACAATGCATTTACATCAAATAACATGTATTGATCATCTTCAGGCTCTTGTTCTCCTTCTAAAATGTCACGGGCTCTGTATGAATCCATGGCTCTTGCACATTCTTCCTTGCTTAGTCTATTAAGGCACACTTGAGGTTGAAGCCACTTGGACTGCATTAGGAAGCTTTGACTCTCTAAGGACAGTTTCAGATTGTGTTCATCAGTTCTGCTTGGTTCGGTGAAGACAACAGTAGCTAAAATCTGTCCTGCACTGATTGCGAGTTGCTTTGAGGCTGTGGACTGAGATGATGAGGAGGACTGTTGGAGAACTGAAGGTGAAGGAGCAACTGGATTCTTTGAGGACACTGGTGAAAGACTGACCTGCTGGATGTAGGACAGTGAAATGTTCGTAGAGGATGAATCTGGATTAGAGGACAATGAGTGCTGGTTTGGAGATGCTTGAGGTTGTGGTGTGTACGGGAGAAGAGGTGGTGTGCTCTGGGTTGATGTGGGAGTGCATTCTGCTTGTACGACTACTCCATCAAGCTCTTCAGAACATTCCTGAAGGATGCTCCTCATTTTTTTGCCATGTCTGGAGCAGATCTGCTCTGGAAAATCAGTCTGACTTTCCTTCTGTTCTGGTTCAGATTGAGTTTTCTTCTGTCTGTGCCTCCCAACCAGGTCCTTCTCCACCAGAAGAGACTGGCTGAAGTCAATCTGATCTATTTCAGAATCTGACAACTGCGTAGACGTAACAATTACTCCATCACCACAAATTTTCTCCTGAGGTGAAATAGTTTCTGTGTTTCTATTCTGCCACAAGCCCTGAGAACCAAACAGCTCTTTTGTGCTGGTTTGTGAGAGTCGATTCTCCTTTGTGCTGTTCTGGGAAGACCTCAAAAATACACGGAGAGTACCATTGGATGGTACTTCAGCGTCCCTTTGTACCTCACAAGTGTTTGAAAGTGATGGTGAGAGACTGTCGTCAAGGCTCTGATTTGTTGTTACAGCTGTCAAATAGAGAAAATGAAGATGAAAATAAAGAATGGCTATTTTTACATGCACAACGCTAAATATAGTGATCGAGTTGATGTGTGCATTTATATGTCACAAGCTTCAAATCAGAATTGACTTTTTGTTCAGAGGTTCCTGCTGTTTGCACATAATAATGATTCTCCTACACTGTTTCTGTATTTGTTTTAAAAAGAAGAATTAATATTTGTCCATTTCTGGATAAATATTGCATAAAACCGCTGCTTATGTTTATGTACTATGCTGCTTATGTTTATCACGCTGTAAAAAACGCCCGATTGTGCCTTCAATCCGATTACTAATGGATTATTTGTGTGCATGTAAACGAAGCCAATGTCTGTAATTTCAAAGCTGTTATGGCAAATTCAGAGACAAAATCATGTTTCTTACCGCAATGCAGGAGTCTCTTCAGAACTGTGGCTAGAGATGCACTATCCCTTGAAAGTAATTTTTTTATGATCTTCTCTCCCCTCCCATATGAATGGGACTGCTTCAGTACCTGCACACAGATGAGGATAGAACAGAATAACACATCAATACTAGTGTGAATATATATGATAATGTGTTTAAAGAAAGGCAATAAACAGTTTATTGTGCTGATACAATTATTATAATTTTTTTTGTTAATGTGTAATTTTTGACGACCTTATTTTTTGATCAAACCGAATGTAAAACATTTTAAGGACCTGTGGGGACTCTGACTAGATATTTAGCCAATATATTTATGTTTATTTAGTTGTTGGAATTTTTTCAGCTGTTTTATCGTCTGTCAGAAAAAAGCTGTTGTGCTATTAATTTTAGTATTTTTTTTAAGTCTTTTTGTTTAGAAAAATAAAAGCACAAAAAAATAGTAATGCCTTTTTTAAAAAAGCACAACTAAACAGAAAATGCAGCTACTTTAGACACAAAAGCACATAAACACTTACCTGTTCAATACACGTTGGTTGTGGCAGGACTTTATCTAGCTCTCCCAAATAGTGTACAAGTCTCTCCTCCAGTTTCTGTGCATAGCGTTCACCATATTGCTCCTCCATTAAATCCTACAAAGTTAAGTAGTCACATTTGATTTGAGGATCTGGAACTGATGCAAACTAGTGCTGATATAAGTAATGTACCATGCAAAGTTTTTTTTTTTTTCACTAACCCGAATGTAAGTCTCACGCATATCCCTGTCTCTGGCCAGAACATGAGCAAAGGCCTTGAAATCTTCCTGGTTTTTCTGCATGAGACCCATGTTCCTGCGGCTCTATATAGAAGCATGATTTAAACGAAAGGAAAGAAAGGGAAAGTGTTAAAAAGCTCAGTAGTACTAAAATATATTTTCTATTTTAAAGCATTATTTGTGTCAATGCAGACAATACAATACACTAATGACACATAGTCAGATATGAACTTAATACACTTCAACAAGAACCCATGCATCATATAGTACATTTAAACATTACTTTGGCTCTTCATGTATTTACGGTGGCCCCTGGTGGAAGGAGATCATACTTACACATTTGTGATACTCCGGAAGGCTTTTAGGGAAAAAGTTTTCAATCTTGTCAGAGATTTTAGCAGTGCTCTGGTCATTCCACAACATCCACATGATAACCTAAAAAATAAAGAAGTTCATGAATCGTAAAGTAGTCATGTAATGCCAAACAAATTCACACTCGCACAATTAAACTTGTGTATTCTATAAAATGAAGGAAGGAACTTTGCTTCATTTAATGTAACAATGCAATCAGATAGAGTACATTGCCTTTGGGAGACATTAAGTTTATTTTAATTATTTTATTTTGCCTACTTCGCCATTCTTGTTGGGATTTCCTATTTTGTAAAATCTCATAAACTCATAAATAATAAGAATAACACATTTCTGAAGGACTAAGATTTTATTTTTCTTACTGATTGAGGTGTCTTTTGTTTATCTGTTTGTATTTTTTCTTTCCTTTCCTTTCCATGTTCTTTAATAGAGCGGTGATGATTATGATTATTGTTATATTATTATTTTTTGTATTATTATATATAATTACAATAATGAAAAACCCATGGAAATCCCTATCCAAAACGGCAAGCTATTTCTAGTGGGTTGACCACAGTATTTTATCAAAGAAAACAATGCCTCACCAGAGTCTGCAGACCAAACATGATCTTCATGTGTTTGATGGGGGTCACTAGTCTTGGCACAAGTGTGTACGTAACATCCACAAACTCAGTGACTCTCTCAAAGTGCTTGATGTCTCTGGCTTGCACGATCCTCCAGACCTCTGCTGCCACCACACGGATTCTGCACGGCTCTTCAAGGGTCAGAAGATGCCAGTCACCTTCTAGCCATAATGGGGGTCCTAGAGCTGAAAAAGGTTAAAGTTGATTCCCATGCGTTCGTTTCAAAATAGTTTATGTTAGATCTATTATGGACTTGCACCAACTGTGCAGTTGATTTATGACAATAAAGTAACAAGTAACATAGTAACTGTGTAATAACATGCAAAGGCATGATTGATTTAATAGATTATACTGTTTTTAATTGAAAGCAAGGCAAGACATGCAAGAAATGCTTATGTAAAAATCATAATTTGATGGAAAGTGTCAGGTTGTAACAGGTTTGTTTGGGTTATTTAAAACATTGCAAGAAACACCTTCTAAGACCTCCATCATCCGTTTAGTCCATGCATATTCAATGATCCATAATGGTAAAGCAGGAATAAGGTGAGCACATGCTTGTTCCAACCACAAGTTTTCACTCATTCCAGCCAAAGCAGCAGTTTCAGTCTTTAACACTGTCATGATGTCCAGGCATCAGCGGCTTTCAGTGCAGAGCATCTGATAAGAGCTACTGCACGCAGGAAACATCCAATCATTGGTTCTGCTGAGATGATGATGAGCTCCATTTAAAAGTCACATTTTGTAAGGCATGTCCGGACACGTTTAGAAAGTAAATGACGGAACAGTTTACTTTCACTTAGACATCAACATCAAAGTTAGATATATCACGGAATAATTCAATCTCGTTCGGTATTACATCGACTACACAAACTACTCATAAGGTCAGTGCAAATATTCTTTGTGTGAAAACAGAAATTGTTGACGGTGATGTTTAAAAAAAAAAAGCACAGCTGAAGGAGCTTTTCAAAATAAGAGAACACTTCCGCATCACATAAAATAACCTAAACTAGTAGGATTTAGCTAAATATGAAAATGTGTATATATATATATATTTACATTTACATTTAGTCAT